GGGGATAAATTCAGTTCCTGATGGGTAACTTCAGTTACGGAATGAGATTGTGATCATCATATGGTACAGTACCGTGCAATGTGCTAAAAGCTTCAGCAAGCGTTGCCCTCCTTAATGAATTGCAATTAAACGGTGATATTGCGAAGCCAGTGATATCGGTAATCGGAGCAAGATTTGAAATTCCATGTGAGGAAAACAAACGTATAATGTGCTAAAAGCTTCAGCAAGCTTTGCCCTCGTCAATGAATTGTGATTTCACAATGATATCGTAATTGCAGCAAGATTTAAAATTTCCCTGCGGAAAAAAAAGTAACGTAAATGCATCTATAGCCGGACATCATAAACCTCTATTCATACGCGTGGGCGGTAGGGCCGGTCAAAAAAGTGGCTTAACGGTTTTATTTATGCTTGGAAAAGCTATTAGTTATTATTTTCACGTGGCTCGATGTTTGCAACGACGTGTAACTTGGCCGCGGGCTTTTGTAGCCCGTGAAAAAAAAACTAAGCCCGTTTAGTGGATGCGAAGGAGAGACATGCATCAGAGGGTCCTTTCCGCCCATACCGAAGCCACTGCCTTCCACATGAAGTACCTGAGCGCTTTCACGGAATATACCCAACTTTTGCCAGCGCGTATGGGGCCCCACCTTGATACCCTACGCAAAAAATGAACGAAATGCGACACCGAACGCACATTGCGACACGTTCGGGCATTATTTTAGGGTTTTTCGTCCCAGAAAATCATAGAAAATGCAAACAGCGTCGAAACGCAACAAATTTTGGCGTGCATGCTTGTCATGCTCATTGTAGCCCATGAAAAAAAATTAAGCCCATTTGGCGGATGTGAAGGAGAGACATGCATCGGAAGGTCCCTTCCGCCCATACCGAAACCACTGCCTTTCACATGAAGTACTTGAGCGCTTTCACGGAATGTACCCCAACTTTTGCCAGCGCGTGTGGGGCCCTACCCCGATACCCCAAGTCAAAAATGAACAAAATCCGACACCAAACCCACGTTGCGTCACGTCCGGGCATTATTTTAGGGTTTTTCAGCGTCTCTTTGCCTCACCGCATACTCGGACGCGGACTGGGCAGGCTGCCCTGACACCAGGCGCTCCACCTCCAGCTGCATCGTCTACCTCAGCGACTTCCTGGTTTTCTGGTCCTCCAAGCGCAGGCCACCGTCTCGCGCTGCAGCGTCGAGGCAGAGTACCGTGCCGTCGCAAACACCGCCGCCGAGCGCTGCTAGCTAAGCCAGTTGCTTGGCGAGCTTTGCATCACCCTGCCCAAGCCCACGATCGTCTTTTGCGACAACATATAGTCTGTCTACATGGCAGCCAACCCAGTACATCATCGGTGGACGAAACATATCGAGCTCAACATCCACTTCGTCAGGGAGAAAGTTGCCATCAGCCACCTGCGCGTCTTGCACTTCCCCACCAAGCAGCAGTTCATCGATGTCATGACAAAAGGGCTTCCGACACCGATGTTCCAAGAATTCAGGTCCAGCTTGTGCATCCAGTCACCAGACGCTTCAGCTGCGGCGGGGGGTTAGCAGTTAGCGATCACGTACGCATGGGTTAGCATGCCATGCACGATCCCCACTCTCCCTGCCCACGTCGCACGTCCCCTCCTCTATCCCTTTCTCTTGCGCTGAGCGCCATGTACATGTACAGCTGTTATATATTCATAGCAATACAATGAGGAGCACCCAAGGTGCATTTTCCCTGACTCGCAGTGATAAATGTTGTGTTATTCATATAGCAGGGGGAGGGGGAGGTTGGCAACAACGAGGTACATCTTGCGTCGTAGCCCGCACCCCTGTCAGCTCTAGTGGTCACCGACACTGCGGCCATGAGGGGCACTGCTCCATTGGTGATCTGGCCATCGGCCGTGAGGGGCATCTCCCCAGCATGCTGACCGAGGGCCACCATAGACCGCCGCGCTATGCTCACCGCGGGAGGAGCGAGGTGTAGATGCATGTGAGCTTGACGCGACGACGTACCGAGGCACAGTGACGAGGCGAGTAGCGGAGCGGTGCAGTGCGGTGAAACAGGAAGCAAATCCGGCTATTTATACACCTTCCGGCTAATCCAGAAAGAACGAATTAAACGGCGATCAAGAAGCATCCAATTAAGCAACATGAACATGGATCAAACGGGCGAGCAACTACCAAAAACATCGTCGTAAGCAGGGACCAGAAGTGACCAGAAACAATGATAAGCAGCACCGAATGCAGATTTTTAGGGAGCCAGCATACCGCATGCATTCATATCGCAACAACCAAAAATATCCCATGCAAAAAGAAAAGAAAAAACCACGGCATGCAAAGTAAGGAAAGCAGCCAAACCGATGGATCCCGTCACCTCCATGGAGCGCGTGAACGGACTGTCTCAAATCTCATATAAAATTGCTAGATCCACATGCAAAGATGGCAGTCACGTTAAGCAAATT